TGCTATAGGCTTGTGGAGAGCTAGTTGTAAACACTGAGTGGGTCAACAGAAACCAGCTTCCTGCAGATTAATTGTGACAGTGATGTATGTAATATGTAAATAGAACTAATCAGAGATGCCGGGCACACAACCATGGGGCAGGCAGGAAATGAACACAGCTGAGGACTCTGCAGACTCACTTTCTTATTTTGACCTTTCAAAAGACTAAACAGATGAATTTAGTTTAGCGCAGATGGAAACATTTTCCACAGCAGAAGTTCTGCAGAAACTACAGAGATTCCCAAGCCTGCACCAAGCTTGAGTTTTCATCATGGATGCCTTACAAATTCTTTTGAGATCCCTGGCTGACAGGACCTACAGACCCCAAATGCAAAGCGTTATGTTCCAGTCGTCCGTGATCCAATCTGAAGCAATGCAATTTTGTTTCCTTCCTTTCAAACAGCAGCAACAAAAGAGGGGTTTATAATGGGAACTATATGTAGGCATTATAATGCTACTCTTCCACGAACTCTGAAGTATCCCACATGCCAAGTTCCTCCACTAGGATGAATCTTTTAAGTGCACCACTAAAGAAGTTCCCCGAATTAGCAGGCGGCAAGCTCCTCTACTTGAGATTTACAATAAAACTATTTTCCTTTTGGTGTTGCTTCATGAAGCAAAAATGTTTTTCTATCTGAAGATAAACAAAACAACCATGTGTTGGATCATATCATTACTAAATTGTAGGTCCAATTATGGTTTCCAATACGGAATAAACAACATAAATATTAAGGAGTGATAAATTTTTAAGAAATTACTGAAGAGCAGAATTATTTATTAAAGCCAAGTTCATTCAAAACATGTAATTTTAATTTTTAACTCTTCAAATCCCTCTACAGGAAAAAGAAAGAAATATGGAAATACATGTTTTCAGCCCCTGCTCTTCAGTGACATTTCTTCCCATGCTTATTCTTCACAGGAGAGTAAAGAGACTGTGTTGCTTTTTTTTTCCTTCCTACAAAGATGAATATCGCTTCCCTTCAGCAGAACCTAAACCAAATAACCCCACAGAAGCCATACTGGTAAAATTGGACTTGAATAAGAACAATGGTGGCGCTGAGTTGTGGAGGAGCCCAGGCAGTGCTAGAAGATGAGCATGGACATGAAGGAGGCACAGTTTACACTTACCTGGCAAGTAACAAAAATAGCTTGAAGAGCGATGCAGCGGGATTACTAACAAAGAAGAACAACTCATTGTGCTCTAGTTCTTTGTGCTGAGCTGAACCACTCAGCCAGGGCTTCACTTCTATTCAGCCGACTTGAAAGCCTGAATCTTTCAGTGCTTACCTTTAAAAAAGAAATATGACATATTCAGTGTATAATACAACATCCTTATTGCTAATGGTCTCAGTCAATATTTCTTTCACAGAGGGCAGCTATGGGTTCTACACAAGTCAAGCATGACTTGATCATCAGCTTGATCATCAGCTGTGATAGGACCTTATCAAACACCAACAGAAGCCAGTGCAGACACTTTTCAACTAAAGAACAGGCCCAAAGGGATCAGGACATCACCTCAAGGAACTTCCGGTGCTTTATGATCTATTCAATTTTGCTTTTTTGTCACATAAAGATTGTTTTGAAAATACATATTCTATTCATCTAACTATGAAAGCTCTTGAAAAATGTATTTATTCTTTTCTACAAGTAATAAACCATTAAGTCAATATTGCTCTCACTTTGCAGAGATGATCTTGATTTGAGGGCTTAAAAATCACTAGTCTCCTTCCCAAAAGATTTGTGAATACATTTCAGTGGTTAGAGAAATGGTTGGGAATCAGGATGCTTGGTTCTCATCCCAAATTTCTTTAGAGCTTTCTAGGTCTCTAGCCATGTCATCAACATAATATTCTGGGTCTGCTTTTTCTGGCTTAAAATAACTTATTCATTTTTCTATATTGTCATCTTGCAGTATACAAAACAGCCCAGAAGCATTTATAGGGTCATTAATACCGTTGCTATAACTACTGTAGCCTGCAGTGCAAAACAGAAATAATTATTAGCACCAGCACCATCATTGACAAAACACAGACTGACTTTGATGCAATTTGGCTACTTCAGAGCCTGGATTTAATATTAGCTTTCTATTAATGGAAAAGAAAAATAGGAAAAAAAGAAGAGATTGTTTGTAATTATTCCCTTCCTCCCCACTTCCCCCTCCAAAAAAAATTTCCAAATGAATTCTCAGGAGATGCGCAGTATTTGGGACTGATATTGCTTGCACCCTCAGCAAGCTTGCAGATGACACCAAGCTGAGTGGTGCAGTCGACACGCCTGAGGGACGGGATGCCATCCAGAGGGACCTGGACAGGCTGGAGAAGTGGGTCTGTGTGAACCTCATGAGGGTCAACAAGGCCAAGTGCAGGGTCCTGCACCTGGGTCGGGGCAATCCCCAGTATCAGTACAGGCTGGGGGATGAAGGGATTGAGAGCAGCCCCATGGAGAAGGACTTGGGGGTACTGACAGACAAAAAGCTGAACATGAGCCAGCAATGTGCGCTCGCAGCCCAGAAGGCCAGCCGTATCCTGGGTCACATCAAGAGAAGCGTGGCCAGCAGGTCAAGGGAGGTGATTCTGCCCCTCTGCTCTGCTCTGGTGAGACCCCACCTGGAGTGCTGCGTCCAGCTCTGGGGTCCCCAGTACAGGAAGGACAGGGACCTGTTGGAGCGGGTCCAGAGGAGGGCCACAAAAATGATCAGAGGGCTGGAACACCTCTGCTATGAGGAAAGAGCTGGGGTTGTTAAGCCTGGAGAAGAGAAGGCTCTGGGGACACCTGATTGCAGCCTTTCAAAACTTAAAGGAGGACTATAAGAAAGATGAGGATAGTCTTTTTAGCAAGGCCTGCTGCGACAGGGGTAATGGTTTTAAACTAAAAGAGGGTAGATTCAGACTAGATATAAGGAAAAAAATTTTCACGATGAGGGTGGTGAAACACTGGAAGAGGTTGCCCAGAGAGGTGGTAGATGCCCCATCCCTGGGAACATTCAAGGCCAGGCTGGATGGGGCTCTGAGCAACCTGATCTAGTTGTAGATGTCCCTGCCAGTTACAGAGGGGATGGACTAGATGACCTTTAAAGGTCCCTTCCATCCCAAAGCATTCTATGATTCTATTGTCACAGTATAGTACAGTAATATTTTAAGCATCTAAGACCTCACACCCGTTGCTTTAGAGTTATTTAAGAGTGGATTGGACAAGCCATTCAGATGTATGCTGGAGAGGGCCCATTGGTGGGTGCTGGACCGGTCATTTCCATCTATAAGTTACATGGCATAGTGGTAAGGCCCCATAATTCACTTTTGAGTGACGTTTCACCAAGGCCACCGTAATTCACTTCTGAGTGACGTTTCATGCTACAAATCTTTCTTAAATCAGCTTATATGAACGACTGAGGCCACAATTAACAACATTTTTCAGGAACTGAAATCACCAGGTAATAAAACTATGGCAGATGAACACAGGCAGTATTATTACACACATTATATAATAGGTGAAAAAAAACCCCTCATACGACTATCACTGTTGCAGAAAATTGAACTAAAATCATGCATTCTATATTTATTTACTAGTTGGTAAAATGAAGAATATATTATTAAAGACAGCTGTGGTTAAAGCCAGTTTAAAATAAGCAGGATGTGATAGATAAGCCTACTCTGAAACTGAAAATGCAGTTTAAAACCATAACCCTGCTTCTTAAAGGTCCTTGGGTCACAAAAGGCAGTTTTGCACTGAACATTTCCCATTCAGTCTGATTTTAAAATTTGTATCACACATGTAATACATGTGAGTTTTCTTTCATTTTTTTCTCTCTTAAAAAAAACCCACAATAGATAGCATCTTTTTTGTTATGTTTCAGGAATTTGGAGTCCCAGCAGAGGGTTTTTTTAGTTCTTTTGAATATTAGTACCTCCTGTCCTCCTCAGCTCCACAAACCACAAGGAAAAGCCGTTGTGGGACTCTCACCAGAACTTACCCGTGTTGCAGTAATTGCACAGAACTGGACAAAATTGTGGGAAGGTGATGAGGTCATGTCTTCTACCCAAGGCTCAGTGTCTTACCTGAATAACCAAAACAAGGCATTGGCATTAAAAAAAGGAGGACTATTTAATTCTTAATCAATTAACTACTGCATAATTTTAATCTTTTCCAGCCGCTCATTCAGCTAACACTGAAGAAGTTTCTTTGGTAGATGCATTGTTTCTATGACATCTCCAACACAAATTGTACTTAAGAACGAGAAACTTGATTGACATCAAGCTTGTATGTGAAGAGGTAATTTGTGCTGATCAGCCTAAAAAATTAATAAATTTTTACATTATGCAAACTGAAATGAGAAATTTTTGGTTATTTACTGTCAAAATAAAAAAAAAATTACAAATTTTTGTGCTGAACTAAAGACTTTTTATCCTGGCTGGCAGATTGTAAATGAAAATAAAGCCACAGATATAAAAGGAGGAGCTTTAAGTGAACGAACTTGAAATTAGAAGTAGGTGCTCATCATTTCTGAAAAATGGTGCAAAAATGAAAATCTCCACTTACAAAATATCTGATCAACCACAGCTTCATCTGGCTCTCGCAGGAGACCCTGGGAAGCCTTGAGTTTCAAGTTAGCATACTGTAGATAGAACTGATTTTGTGTCCAGCATATGGCACCTGGGGCTGTAGAGGGCAGGTTAAGGTCAGTTAGACGTTCTAAGAGCTTAAGACAATGTTGTACGTTCTTTTATGCAAAATTATTCTCATTAACGTTCGTTTTAGAGAAACTCTGTACACTTCTCACAGGTGTTTTGGGGGAGAATGATGGCGTCATCCTACGTCTAGTAAAATGTCAAGTTCCACAAACCCAGGAGCTGCTTTCTGCTGATAGCTGTGTTTGTCTGGATGATCAACGGCCATTTTGCAAAGTTGCAATCTCACTTCCCTAAATGACGACTGTAAAACCAGAACTCTACTTAAAGTCCCATGTACGTGCAGCTGCAGTGGCAGTGAAGGTGGAGGACCTCCTTCTTCCCACTACCTGCTCTGGAAACTGCTCAACAGCCAATTGGGGCAACCCGGCCTGATACAGCATGTGAGAGCCCTCCTGAGCATATCAGTTACACCAGATGCAACTGCTGTAAGGAAGCAAAAGAAACATTTTCTGAAACTGGGAAGATTTTTTGGAGGAAGATGGAGAACCCACTTCTTTTATTCCCCCAACTAAACATTTCTGCTTCAAAGGATAAATCCTATTACAAAGTCATGAAATCGACAATTAAAGAAGAGCCACATCAAGCAAGCAAGTCTGGGTAAGTTTAAGGTCAGGCTGACACTCCGAGCGTTCTGTTTATGTAGAGGATTCTTCTAACATAGCTTGTCGGTATGAATTTAGGGCACAGGTCATTTTCTTTTTGACTTATGTGTATGAAAACTCATGAACTGCAATGCTAGGAATTGTATACGTAAAATATTAATTCATCGTGGAAATGCTTTTTAAGAACAAGAAACAAGTCAAATGATAAACTACGAAAATAGGAGAGGGAGGTTTCAAGAAGCTCTGAGAAATGCTTCTTGAAAGCCTGAATATGATCTGGGAAGGTTTCTTTTTAAAAATTTCAAATGACAGGAAGCAATACTTCCTTTTTCTTTGCGAAACATTAAAAGTAGAAGATGCTGAGCCAATTGTTTATGTTCTCTAATGTGAAATTTCACCCCCTCATCTTTAAAATAAATAAAAAAGATACTGAAAATGAAAAGATTTCCATTTCTCTTTGCCAGTGCTTCACGTGTTAATCTGTGCTAAGCTATAAAGAAAAAAAATCATTAATGTGAACAATATATGTAGGAGAAGTAATGTCAACATTACTATAAGTGAACATAGGGGCATCTATGACGCAGAAGCAGAGATATTAGTCAAAGGAAATGTTTGAGGAAAAAAACCCAACTTTCAACAAGGTTGCCTGAAAAGCTACCCTAATTCTGTTGTAGAGCTAAGCAGAAGAGAAATAGGCTGAGCCTTCTCCTGCAGAAATCTGAATTCCATGAAGGTGATCATCTTGGTAAACCTGGAAACTTGACAAAAGCAGCAAGGTAAGCATTATAAAAGACTGAGTCGATGGGGATTCCTTTCAGGAAGTGCCTGTGTGACTCAGAATGTTTCCTGCATTTGTGTGTGTGCATTCAGACTTGGCAGAGAGTAACACTTTCAAGATCTGTTTAATTTAAAAGTTCGCAATCTAGCCAAAGCATACAAAGCATATAGAATTATCTGGTATGCATCAAGGTAACTCACCACTAGTGTTTTCACACCACTAAGAGTAGACTGGTCCCCATACCCTTGCAGACACATTTAAATGTTTACTCATGCCAACAGCATTTTCATTAGTCCACTGACTATATTGAGCAAGCATCAACTCAGAAACGTAGCGGACAAATTACTGCTTACAGGGAAATTGTACAGCTCCTTGGAAGGCAGGTTTTCCAAAGAATTCTGTGATGTGCAAATGCCAGATGCGTGTCAAATACTGAATGCATAGTTCCTCAGTAATTGCGGTAATTGTTTGAACACTCTTGTCTCCAAAATTCAGATACTGATGTTTAAACACTGTTGTAATATTGTCCCTGTTATACTATTTCTCACAAAGATGCAGGGTGAAATCTTGGTTTTGTTGACTTCAGTGAGAGCTTGGTTCCTGACTTCAATGGGGTACCAAGATCTCACTGATATATTATTTATATATTTGTAGGTCTTGACTGAAAAGAAGGAATGCGTAAAGTACTGCAACTCCATGGCCTAAAAAATTTTCCGCCCCTTTCTTTCCATCACAGATCGCTTCAGAACACTTCAGTGCTTCCCATGCTCTTTTGTCTTGTTAAGCTTGATGAACCTTGTTTAAGCAGTTACTACCTTTGGGGCCAAGATGCCTGCTTTGACCAGAACTGCTTCTACAAGCCCTTATGAATTGTGAACACATGGTAGAAATTGCATAAAGGCCCAAACTCTGTTTCTAGAACCCCTGAAAAAGTAGCCAAGAAGTGGGTATCTAAACACTTGCACCTATGCAATGTGGATAATTAGGCAATGTTTGTTGCTCGCATGTCCAAATATCATGCCCATCCAAATGACAGGGTGTACTCGTGATCTGGAAGATTTTCCACTCCAGTCTTGGGGGGTGGGGTGGGGAGGGGGCAATTAACGTCTGTCTTTTTTTCTCTCTCTCTCTCTGTCTTGTTTGGCTGCTGGCAGAAGCCTTAATTCAATGGTTTTACAGGACACTCAGAAATACAAGACATTGCAGTGATGAACAAAGGTAAAACAGTACTGAGAATACCCTTTTTCTTGTCTTGGCTCCACACACATAAAACCGTGCTAAGACTGCATCTAAAAAGAGAAAGCTCAGCCTCCATGCCACCTGTATGCAGGCAGTACTGGGTGGCTGATTACCCTTGGGTATTTCATACAAGGTACACAGCCATCAATGCATTCTTATCGTCTGTGAAAAGGCAGTTTCAGAGGCAGATGCAATAGCAATAAATAATTCTGTGAAGAATTTCCCCCTTTTAACAGACTATCACTTCCTCACTCAGCTGACTGCCTTTTACCACGTCACTCTCAGCCAGGTGCTGGACTAACAGGGATTCTGCTGTTCTTGTTGTATAGAAGAGAAACTGGTAGATTTTTGCTGATCTTTCTCTCTATATAGATTATAGAGAGATGCAGATTATTTTTGGTTAAAAAAAAAAGAAAAAAGAAAATTACCCTTTTTCAAATAATAAAGATAATAGTTTAGGATTTATTATTTAAGTGATTTACTTAGTTTTTATGATTTCCGTTCTTCACACAGAGATACTAACATAAGTAGAAAGAGAGCTTAATGAAACACTCCAGATGGACAGCATGGTGATAGTAGAAATGCCTATGATCTGTTAACTAGTTTCTTCTCTTCTTTAGAAAGCGGCAAAGCTGAACAAATCTAGGTTTCTGTCTACTACTGCAGCAACTCATTGCTGCACCCAGCTCTTGGGGATCTGTGAGGCTACTGGGTCGATGCAGTTTCTGAAAGAAAATCAGAAATTCACGCCAGGAGTTTCCAAACCCAGCAAAGAACCTCTCCAGCATTCTGTGCAGTTGTGGATTGCGTATGTTGTCTGAAGCCATCAGGGTTTATCTTTCACTATGACCAAATTAGTTTCTGTAACTGTAGGAACCCGCTGTTCCCAGACATACAAGTCCACACAGTTCAGAGAACTGCACTTTTTGTACTTCTCATAACTAAAAAACTCTGTAAGGGAGCGAGGTCTCATTTTCCCTGACTCCAGAATCCCCCTACTTTAGTGGCCTAAGTTCATTTCTTGAATTTCAGTTCTCCAGCATTTGTACCTCTTGAGAACTGTTTGTCTCTCCCTAGTTAAAAATTTAATTCCTATAAGCAATGACTTCAGCTAGGAGAGATCTGACATCTATTAAAAAAAAGAAAATAAAAAAAATCATTTTAGTTTTCTGCAAAACCAAGATCATTACTGGCTTAAATTCCCTCTCAAAGTGATTGGAAGTTCCCTTCATCTAAATTTCACCTGCCTACAGATTTTGCCAACGGAACCCGAACTATGTGAATCAGGCAACAGAACGGCAAGCCTCCATGAGGATGGGGGAATAATTTTTAAGAAGTGTTCAGTCCATAAGAAGTTGCTCTAACCAACTAACCCAGGACAAGTTGCTTATTGGTACTGTGCTTTGCCCTCGAATGAAAATGGTTCTAAATATTAATATTCATAAAGCACCAGGTAAAAATTGACTTCACCTTCAGGCTTAGAACTTAAGTCCTAGTCTTAGTCTGATACAGTTCATCTCCAGGCTTACTCCAGTTTTGGTCTACAAAAATCAAACTACTGTCCAGGTGTGTGTTCAGGGTTGATCTATACAACACCAAAAAAGGGTTTCCCAAAAGTTGCATTTGAGTGAATGAATTAGGGTGTTCTTTTTTCCTTTCTGCATTGTTCTCTAAGGCAGAATATTTGAAATCAAAGTAAAGCACGTGCAACTTGACATATTTGATGAAGAATACGTCGAGTTTGATAAATGGAGCACAGTGTCTCAGAACAACATGACATTTGAAACATGTTTGTGGCAAACAAACCAGGCTACATGTGCTATTGCCCTATAAGACTATCACCTAAACCATATTGCTACAACTTTGTCTTTGGGCTATAGAATTTCCTGTATTTCATTAAAAATAGACTGTGGTAACACAGCCTCAGACCGAGTGCATTCAAAACCACATCTCTGCAAGAGCATTTTTTAAGTTTAAATAGGTGACTGACCTGGTTCCCTTATGAGTTTTACCATACTGCATGATCTCAATTCCCTTAAAGACTAATAGCCCAACGCAAACACTGAAGAGAAAAATCTCTGCTCTGATGCTTTTTTAAACAGGGGGAAAAAGGTACAACTCTGCAGGAAAAATGTCAGAAAAAAAATAATTAAAAAAAATTCTGAAGTACCCAAGAGAATGAGCTCCTTTAGTAGTGTGATCTAATAAAAGGCTTTGTGAAACAATCCTGAGCAATAATGGTAACAGATAACATATATTACAACAGCTTCATAAGTACACAATATGCACAATTCTTTAACACCACTTTCTGTTTCTTAAACAGCGTGTCACCTGAAGAAGCAGTGAAATGGGGAGAATCTTTCGACAAACTGCTTTCTGAGAAAGGTTAGTAGTTTTTTCCTTCCTGTGCAGACTGTTAGGATGGAAAATTGATGGAAAATTATAAAATCCAGTTGTGCACTTAAATAGACCTGGCAGTTACCTAAACTAGGTATGATGGGTCATTTATAGCAGCATGTATTTCTGCTCTCCTCATGTGCTTCGGCTATAGCATGCTGTCAACTACTGAAAATAGTTGAAAATAACTTTTAAGTTTTGTATTTTATTGAAGAAAGTACTATGAGAGAGCAAAGAGTTCCTTCAATAAACGGTAGAATTTCATCTGAATATTGCTCAAATATTCCTGACTGCCAGACCAAGCCTTAAAAATGAAAACATGTTCTATGTACTTAATAAAAGACTTTGTCACTTCTGATACAGTTTGTTTCTAAAACAGTGATAGGAACAAAACTGGGCATCATTTGAAAGGGCCTGTTGCTTACATAATTATCCAATGCACGTATGTCCCTCCTTCCGCTTTGGAGGGACACACGTATGATCCAGCTACAGTGCTGGAGACTCTGTGCTTTTCAGATCTGTTCCTTGAACAGTTGACATCAATACGATTGCATTACTTCCACAGATTAAGCATATTTGGGAAAGAAAATATCTTCAGCATAACAACAATAGGAAAAAGCAAATTTTAAAGATGCTAGAAGCCATTCATTTTAAATGGAGAATAGTCTACTTATGAGCAAAGATTCAAATAGTGTTTCAGTCAACCTAAATCGATATTCAGCCGGAACAAAGTCCATCACTTCCACATACATCCACATGTTTTGATTGCTTCCATTTTTAAATCCACAGGATCTTGGTAGTGAATTTTTACAGATGCTGAGAATTCTGTAATGGGAGTTACAGCATTCAGGATCATAATGAAAGAACTGTGCTTATTTTAAAACCTTTATATATTTTAAAATAATTACCTATAATGTGATGTAATGCAACGGGAGCAGAACCTATTTTATTACCTTGCACAGACTGTGTGAAAAGAGTAACTGTCTGATAAGGATTTTTTTTTTTAATGCAATTTAACATTCCCTTTTGTAGCTGGATTGGATGCCTTTACAAAGTTTCTGAAAACTGAGTTCAGCGAGGAGAACATCGAGTTCTGGATAGCTTGTGAGGATTACAAGAAAAGCAAAACTGCACACGAACTTTTGCCAAAAGCTAAGACCATTTATGAAACATTCATACAGAAAGATGCTCCAAAAGAGGTACAGTAAAAATGTTCCTCCTTGTACACAGTATTTAACACAACTGCATCTGATGAAACCTGCTTTTCAGAAGTGCATGCCCAGAAGCAGGGGCAATAGTTAATCATGTAGTCACTGACGTAAGAAGGCTGTATCTTAAATGTCAGCGCTCTGGAAGGCAATCTGGAAACTGCATAGATTATTCTCACTGTCCTCCATACTCCTTTCAATACCCTCTCCATGTTACTCTGCCAAGTGTAGAGCATGAGTTTAAATGTTATATCATAGGAATCAGAGATTCCTAGTGGTCTGTAAAGACTGGAGATATATATACACACACATATACAGGGTATATTTAAGAAAAAATAGTGATGTTAAATATTAAAGCTGCAATGAGACATATCAGCTAGCATTTGTGAAAAAGTATTATCTGTCTTTAAATAAAGCTACCTCCAGAACAACAGACTTATTCTCCCTTTCTCTTAAACCAGTAATTATCTATTAAATTATTACTTAACTGAGATTCAGAAGCTTGTATTTTAAATAAACCAAAAGACTAAATGAGACTAGAAAAAACTAATAAATTAAACATATCCCTTGAAATATTAATTATGTTTTAAGCATGGACTTTTCTTGATTGACTCCTCCCCCCTTTCTACCCCCCAGCTCTAATTGCATGTTATTGGTATGTTACTGTCAGCACATACACAAAAATGTGTTGATATGTCGATCCTCACCAACACTAAGGCCTTTTTATATTACTGTAGTGCAAAAAGTTTTCATATTTACAATTCTTTCACGTTACTGAAGCGTGTTATAAACGATTCATAAATCAGCAAAAGGAATATTTTTGCCTGCTCTGGGAAGGAGGTGAACAGGTTGGGAGATGATGAACTCTTACTGAAATCACAATCAGCCTCTTCAACAGGTCTTTTGGACTTACAATTTCCTGTAATTCTATAAAGTTTGAACAGATCAAGTATGCCCCTTGCCAATACTCCTTTTCCCCTGTATTCTTTTTTTTTTAATTTGCCAGAATAGCAGAAGTTAAACACTAACTGCTGCTTCCCTGTAACAAGGGTGAAAAAGGCGTAATTCTGATTTTAAGAGGATTGCAAAATGGTGCAATTTTCACCTGTAATTCCCATAGATTATATTTAAGATTCAGATCTGCTTTTCCTAGGAAGTGTCCACTTCCACAGACTTAGGTCCCTTTTTATTTCTTTCCCTGCTGGATGTCTTTGGGGTGAACCTTACATAAAAAGAAATCCCCTGCGTTGTTTGAGGTAGAACCTGTCATTGCCAATTGATCAACCTATGAGCAGTTACGGTAGGACACTAAGCGCTGATACCGTCAACACTTATGAGATTGACATAAGCAAAAAGATGAGCAGGAGGAAAGCTAGGGATGGGACAGGGTGTGGAAGTCGTACTTTGACTAACAGTAACGTAATGATTTCTTTTATCTGTCATACTTTTGATTTGGTGCACGTAGTGTGGGTGCTGTTGTTCCCCTTAAGCAGTTGGCTTTGGTGAGACTTCCTTCCTTGGGATCAGCTGAGACCAGCCAACAGCATCTCATTTCAGACCATGCAGCTCTGGAACTTGTGTCTTCTCTCTGACTAACTTCTTTATATACTCTATCTTATTTTTCAAAATAGCATGCTTAAATCAGTGCCTGCTACCTTAATAAAATTCTCATACTAATTAAATCTTCCCACGATGAATGCAATGGTACACAGAATAAATGACCATTTTTACATGCTTTTCTCATCGAAAGCCTCCAGAAACCCATTAAAATAATTTTTATATTTTAATTATCAGAGTTTTCTCACCTTCCTACTACCAAAACTCTACACAGAAACCAGAAATTTTAAATATTCACTAACATATTCTAATGAGTACAAAGTTCTACATGAATCCTAAATAAGAATAGAGAGAGTTCTGTATTAGTCTGGTGTTGCAAAGCCTGACAGCTGCAACTATACCAAGATCACTTTTAGAAGGTTACTTTTAGTCAAACATCAAACTTTAGCTTCTATTTTACCAGTTTTCCATTGTACCAATGACACATCTGTGAAGACTTTCTGACAGCCATTACTGAACATGAACATACTAACTAATTCTGTGGTATTAATATCCCGTTGTATCAGGGATTCAAGGTCCTCTTATCAGAAAAGACTTTCACCAAAGTACAGTATCATTGCTAAGGATGATAACACAGGAAATCATGAACATTCATTAAAGAAATATACTTTTCCTCATTCTCCAGGTGAATTTGGACTTTCAGACCAAGGAAGTCACAAGTCAGAATATTCAACGGCCCATCATCACCACTTTTGATGCAGCACAAAACACAGTCTACAGGCTGATGGAGCAAGACAGCTACCCGCGCTTCCTACGATCTGATCCTTATTTAAATTTGGTTAAGGGGAGAAATCCCAGTCGTCCTACCCTTAGGAGACGATCACGGTCTTTTACTGTCAATGATTTCCAGGGTGTACGACCAGACTTTACTGATTGGTGATACAATAATACCCAACCCTCATAAATTCTAGCTACTGCAGCAACTCGTATGTGTTTTAAAATCCAAAACCTTAGCAGGTGTAAATGAGTGGAAAGCAACGTTACATGCACTTATACCAGGTCAGAGTTCTGTAGCCAGTGATTGATCTCATTTATTATAGAGAAGTAGGCAACATATTGGCAAGACGTATCATGTAAAGTTTTCATACGGTATTTGTTTTAAACTCAAGTAAGAGTATTTGGAGGAAAAATTCGAGTTTCCTGCATAAAAATGTTGTATAAAATGCCCTTTTATAATATCCAGCATTTTTCCTGGGCCTGTATTATTTAGGACAGAGTTTCATCACAGTTAGAATCTATACACCTAGCCTTTGCACATATTTATGTTTCTGCAATATTTCCTACACTAAGCACAGAGTACTTGTGGTATTTTCTCATACTGCAAAACACATAGGAACATTATTAAGTATAAAGTTACATGGATTTTAACTACAGCCACTGCATAATTAAAATTTAGCTATTGCATATTTTAAGAGGAACATAAGAATACCTATTTAATTTTTTGGGGTACATTTTGTACTGTTTTCTTGTTACGTGTGTCTGTTCTTTGTGTTTAAGTTATGCTGTATAGATTAGCTTTGCCATCAAATACTTGTATTCTAATTTTTTGCAACCAAACGAGCAGCAAGAAAGGGCCAAAAATGCTATTTTAACACAATGTGTGTCATTAAATATCAGGTCACATGTATGTGTATATATATATATATAAAAAATTTTTCCACTTGTATTTATAAATATTCATGGTATACCAACTTTGTTACTAAACTTTGTTCTAAATTTTTTTTGCCTTTTATTTTCAAAAAGATTCTGAAAATTAGCAGCTCTTGGACTCAGGTAGAATAACCTTCAGTTCTACCAGTCATTAATATACTCTCCATGGTTATAGAAGAGGAAGGAGAAATCTCCCCTTTTATTTCTTTACTATTGCAGTCACGCATATCCTTTTCATAGTCAGTATACACAGTTTTCTTGTCCTTTTCTTTTAGAATTGATGCAGACATACCTTGAAGCATGGGGCAGTTCTTAAAATCTTAAAACATTGGTTCAGTTTAGCAAGTGGCTGCAACTTGCTTACGACTAAAGTAATTGTAATCATGACTTGTATATTCAGTCGCTTTGCGTGGAATTTAAGCTTTCTCCCTTTTCTTCCCCTTTCTGGAAGTGGTCAAAGTGAAGAGGTGCAGTTCCTGAGGATGGGACTTTATGTTCATTACTAATTCAAGGTATTATATGAACTGCTTGATCTGCGGGTTTCCGTGTCTGCTTTACTAACTTTCAATAAATCTGAAGTGATCTACTTCATAAGTTGTCAGGATTCAGTTTATCACTAGTACATTGATGAGTAAAATGTGCAGACTTCAGTTATAATTCAATACTAGCTGTAATCGTTACCATTTCAATCAAAAGTGTTACTGTGCACAGAGACCCAGACTCACCAGGAAACGCTGCTGAGCCACAATGACCTGGGAACCATCTCCACGCTCTTGGCTTTGCCTGGGGAATAGACAGGGAACACATTTGTAACTATGAGGAGTATGATCCGTGCTGGTTTATTCCATCGTCCTTCCCTGATCCCGAAACTCCAGGCACAAGCTATTTCTAACTGTGCAAGCAGTCAGAACCTGGGCACAGTGATTCAGGAATAAATCAAATGCTTTTAGTAGCACTGATATTGTATTGCAGTTTCTTTACCAATATCAAACGCAGCTTTGGAGCTTGTCAGCCTCCTTTTTTTAAGAACTGTTTCCACTCCTGTTGTCATTGTCACCAGTGTCACACGAATGAGTGAACACAGTGAAAGGCAACTTTCTAACCCAATTTCATTGCTGAAGTCAGTATATTTTTCTGGATAGGTTATTTACCCTTATTCTTTGACTGTCTGTCCCTTAAACATGAATCAATTCTGCCAGAAACAATCCTGTTTCTGATTAGGGAATCTCTAATATCCCCAACAATGTCTGGATGCCAGAGTTCTCAGATATTTAAAATATGCACGTTCTTATGTTTTGTATTACTAACTCTGTCAGAGAAAGAGAACGGATTTGACGACAGGCCCACCTGAGCCTTAACAGTGGGCCTGTTGCAACACAGGCATAAGCCTTACACGTTTGCAGCCAGATTCTCTCCTGGTGCGGCTATGTTCCTTCATACCAGCTGCGAATCCGCACCTTTACTCTTGCCATGGATGAAGGAAATGAAAAAAAAAAAAAAAAAGTGTATTTAATACTGTTCCAAAATCCAAACAAATGACAAATATAGCACCTTGAGTAAGACTTTTTCTTCTTAGCAAAAAAACAGCTGTTAGTCAAAAGGGTCTGTAATGATACATATAAGTCAGCAGGCGCCCTTTGTTTCACTTCACAGACACATGGAAAATTTTGCTTATCTGCAGGGGGGCCTTCCTCAAAACCATCAGACTGTGGTACTGACGGCGCTAGTCCCTCTTACGAGTTTTACAATGAAAACAAACAAATAAGATATTCCTGGTAGCTATTTATGCATGTATGTTTTTCAAAGATAATTATGAACTATAGCTGAATTTACAGCAGACTAATACCATGGGAACTACTGTAAAAAAAAAAAAGTCAAGATAAATTCAGAGAAGGGAAGGCAAAGGGCACAAAGATAAACGAAAATGACATAATTATCTGGCAAAGGGTTTTTTCTAGAAGAGGCTCCTTTTAGTGAGAGAAAATGAGTGCTCTACTGTAATTCTGGAAGATGAACTAAGCAGAGATTTAGTACAAGCGTGTGATGCTGTTCCAGGACTGAGTTAGAGAGGACCGATCAGACTACGGGCTATAGAACGAACCTTAGAGTAGTGCCAGAGAACACAGTCGGGCTTCTCTGGTTTTGGCAGAATCAATGCCATAGTTACGTAAATCCTCTTGCTTAGCTGACCTAGCGCAAACAGTACGTATACGAAGCCTGTCGGGCAAGTATTTTTATTGGGTATTATTTTATGTAGCAGCTTTTGAAATTTGTATGTGCCATTCAGCATTCAGTAAGAGCTCTCAAAACTCTCCTCTTACCAACACAATAATTTACCCTACATAAACACTTCATTTTACTCCTTAGATATGTGAAGTCTCCAGACCCAGAGTATGAGGGAAATAATCTGCTGACTTGCATAGCGCAAAGGTTTGTCTCCTGTTTCAATACTTAGGTCTAATTAGATGCTTTAAATTAGCTGAATTATTATCTGCTGTTCTTGTTTAAATTGAGGGAGATGCAAATACACATATACACATACCTTCTTCGGCTTTTGGGATTTGTTATTGTGCAAAAGACAACTTGATTCATTTTTGAACTGACAAGAAACAAGAGGAACAATATCTAAGATAAAGAATCTCAAAGAAAAAGATAGTTTTCCATCTTCCACTAAAGTAGGCGATCAGTAATATGGCTCTTACGTGCCTTTACATGCTTCCACTTATAAGTGACTCACAAACGGCAGATAATTTCTCTCTCCTTTTTGTCCCCAGCTGCTCAGGCTGCTTTAACTAACTGCTGCTTTGAATGCAGTTCCCTCTCCTTTCCACGCATACTGTCAAAAGACCTCAACTGAGAAAAAAAATTGCATAAAATCGTCTTCCTCTTGTCAGTGATTCATATGCTCATAAACTTATGCCTTGCTCAGATGCCTGTCCTAGATCCCGCTCTCGTTTTTGCATTTTAGTCAAATGCCTCAGTCAAATGCCCTTTAAGCTCCTGTGTGGCTCTGTACCAAAGATAAGAAATTATTTCCTCTATGCACCATCCAGCTTGCTTCCATTTTTGTACTCTGATCGTTTAGAGCTGGTCTCATAAAAGCTCCCTCTGGTTTTATAGCAAAGCTTTTGTCTCTCCTTTCCTAAATGGCATCTGTTTGTGTAACCTCCTCATAAGTCTCCTTAAAAGAGATTACCTAGACGCCAAAATTTACAATCTAGCCTCTATCGTTGCCTTCTTTATGAAACATAACTAAAATTAAACTAGCATGAAATACAATCCTATGGAAGTCAATGTAGAGTTTTCAAACAGGACAGAAGATTAAGCTGAAGCCTAACATAAGGACAACCCTGGACTGTTGTTTCTTCACCACGCAATTTGCTTGTATTTTAGAAACTCCTGTTTCTTCCCAACTTTCCAGACTCATTTTAAATTTCTACAGTAAATGCTACTCCAGTTTTTCCTTAAGGAAGAGCAGGCTTCTAAGGATTAAATCCTCATGTGGACTGTCCCCCTGTGGGGGACTCAGTAGGAGCTCTCCTACATCATACACACGCTTTGCCCAGATTACTTGGGTGTGGGCACACTGGAGAAGTCAGAGTCCAGTAGTCATTTACAAAAAGAGGTAATCAAGAACATCAGTATATTGGCTTTCCCTTTCATTCATTCCTAGCACAGCTTGGCTTGGGACAGACCACCCACAAGGTACGACTCAAGAGACAACCGATATGGGGAATTATGGTTCAAAAGCTTTCTGAGGCATAATGCCTACCTTTCGTATATTCTTGCATTGGTGCAATTTATACCTGTCTCCAAGCACAAGGTCATAACATGATCCTATATGTTTGCACTGTGTAGGCTGCCTGTATGAAGTTTTGTGAAGTCTGATGCTATGTGAATAACAGTCTATTCATCCAGGACACGAGCCGTGCCAAATAATCTGCTAGTTTGTGCTAAATGAGAATCTTCAAGGTTGCATATTTTCTTGAGAATTGTTTCCAATTCTCTTCTAATGTAGGTTTGTGTTTGTATAGTACTTGGAAATCCTGTATATGAGGAGCCCAGAATGCTGTAAAAAATTTTGACAGATTGTTCTTGAAATCAAAACATTTTACCTGAAGGGCATACTTCGCTTGGGTGGAAAATAACAGCTCATTTTCTTATGCAAAACAACTCTGCGGCATACTGAAGACAGAGTTATTCACATGGAAAAAAAAATATTTTTGTGAGTTGACCATGCTGCGCAGTGCTATTGGAAGGTAGGCATTTACATATTGCTGTGATTAAAATGTATTTGCATCCCGTATGACGGGCGTTTCCATGTTACTAGGATGCCAGCAGTGCTCAGATCATCTTGGCTTCTCCCAACATAAGAAATGCAGTCAAGTCTCTGTTTGCTTGAATTGCTTGGATCAGCAGAACATTAACTTTTTTTTCTGCTGAGGTTACGCTATACAAGGCAACGCTATCCAAGCAAACCTTGGTATGGAATGGATTTAACAGAGGCTAAGTGCTGAAGGGCAATAACATATTGAACCTGGTCCAGGGGAAACACCAGCACACCAAGACAGAGACTGGAGAGGGTGACCTTTTCTCACATTGCACTCAGGTGAGTTCCTTTTAGGAACATATATAAATGAAAGTGATTTCTTAGGTTAATACACCAATACTTTGAACACGAAGAGTTGTTTTGTGCTGACTAGTGAGATTAATGTCTAGCTCAGATGTGGGTCAGAGGAACAAAAAATGACATGCCTTATTCCCGTGAACAGCCAATAGCTTTTCATAAAGGAAGATATCTCAGTGAAACTAATGCCTAAAGACAGCTAAAGAATAAAAGATGAATATCAGTAAAAAGTCAAACAGTAAGCCTAAAAGTTCAGGAGATTTAAATATTTAATACATCAGTAGTCCTTAGCAAGTAATATTGGCAAAGGAGAAAATGTTCAATCAATAGATCCACATTCCCTTTCCTACAGTTCTAGCTCTCCTATGGCCTGTCAAAGGCAGGGGACTCAAAACAAAAATCCATAGCACAGTCCTCAGAATTACAGAAGTGTTAAGGCAGAGGCCTCACAGATAAAGTTTTTAAAATACACTGAAATGAGCTGAGCAGATAAGGGCCTGAGCTACTCTGGAAGTCCAGCCTGGATTATTATTGAACTGAAGCTGCAGACATGAGCAGTGTCAGCTGGATCCAGATTTCCAAAAAGTTTACCAATAATTCTATGTGCAGTTTCCAGTCCATCTCTAGTACATATTCATATTTCTTGTTGTTTGCTTGATACTGTTTATTATGAATAGTTAATACATTTGCACAAGCAGCTGATGCGTTTGTTTTAATACTAAGATCACTTTTCCTCCTTACAAAATTTCAGTAAAGTATGAGAGTTTCTTTCCAGAAATTATTAAGTTCCAAGCAAAGGAAGTATATGACAATACTACCGGCTACTTTTATGGGAAGAGGTGACTGTACCTAACTTTGGTTACTGTACTTGTGATATTTGTACTGGGATAATAACAACAACGATCCTATTACCTGCTGTGTACCTGAAATACAATCAGCTTACGTCGACTAAGCAGTCACTGAACAGCATGTTACACGATGGTGAAAATCTCTCATAGCTTCTTTGTGTTTTTGTGAATTGTGATCAGTACCCCATAAAATGCAAGAGCAATTGGATTGCATCCATCTGGTTATTCTGTGTGCTAGTCAGAATACTCGTGGTTTTTACCATCCTTCTGTGGCTGCTGAGACTGACTTAAAAATATCTATCAGCACTGAAAATCTTCAAGAGATGGTCATGTCTGTATCATTCAGACATCAGGCAATTAGAAATTTTTAAAATTGCATCTCCTGCACTATTTGGAACTTTGTTTTTTTAAAAAAGTATGTCATCAGATGATTATTAGAAAAACAGGCACAGATCCTGCAACCCTCCCTCTCATAAATAGTCTCCCAGGAGTTAATGGGACTATTGTATAACAAGAAAGATATTATGTCTTCAAAAATGTAAAATAAGTTAATTTGTAATCTCAGTTCTAAGGTGAGTGAATAGTATAATCATTGGGATTAGACACAGGGTAGACATCAAGAAATTAATGGAATCATCCAAGAACGAGGTGTTGCTTAATTTGGTGTCATCTCTGTCCTCATAACTGCACTGACTTTACTGGCATTACACCAAGGAATCTGGAGGAAACCTGCATCAGGCCTTTATCTAGAATTTTGTTACTTGGCTGAAAATTCAACACCTGTTTTGAACTGCTCCTAAGTCTTGGCCACTTCTCAGTGAGAGCCTAGGGCACTTAAAAGCAAAATCCCTTCCTAAAAGTAACACAACATAGTAACACATGTAAATGCCCTTACATATTTGCAGAAGAACCTCCTGTTTGCTACGTGAGAAAGGTAGACCAGCAGTCACAAAACGTAACATTAGGAAAAAAAGTACTATTTCAACAATAATTGACAGAGACAATCTCACTGTTAGAAAATTCAAGTTGTAGCTATTTACAGTCTGCCAGGCCAGAAGCTCTACAAATAAATACTGCTTGGATTTTGTATTGTGTTTATCCTCTTTTACCAAAGCTCAAACCTGGGACTGAATCAGTCACAAAGGATTTAATGTAAATGCAGATGCTGAAGGTTTTCTCTCCACCTGAAAGGTGCTGCAGTTAGTCTTCCTAGCACAATGCGTGGAAGGCTTTTGGTCCTGTCTGGCACAGTGTTACAGTCCACAGTACATAGTCTGTGGAAATAAGAGGAAAATAACTGAATAAGGAAACCAAGAAACACTGCAGAGAATCAAGATGATAATTTGTATTTCTCTCCTTGTGTTATAACTTTCAGAAGCAAGTGGATGCAAAGGTAAGAAACTGCAGAAAGGATTCGTATTTTGCTGCCAGGAATCTTTTTTAGTATTATGTAGGACTGAAAGGGGTATCTTGGGTCATCATTGCTAATTTCCTGTTATCAAAGGCAACAATTTAAAATAATCTCTTTCATAAACATATGAAGCTCTATCTTTGAAGTACAGAGCAGTAGAGAGGATAAAAATTCTACTGGGAGACTTAAAAACAATACTTTTTCTGAAGCCTTCTGATTTCCAGCCCAAACTTATTCACTGGCTGTTTATATACATTTTTTCTTTTGCCAATATGATCATTAAGCTAAAACAATTCTTTTTTTTTCTCTCTGGGTTACCCCTCCGTATTCACAGAGAGCAATCGTAGCTCCTCTTTGCTTTCATTTTACAGACAAACTGAAGGCTTTTATTCTTCTGCAAGACAGTTCAGTTCCCCCGATCATCCCAGTAACCCACCTCTCTATGTCTGTTCTCATCTGATTTCAACTTCCTGAAGCATTATTGACCAGATTCACTATTTTTGTCCCATATGAAGTTCATCAAATAGTTTGGCCTGAAACTTCTTTTACAGATCCACAAAAGGTGAGGATAAAGAATAAGCCCTTAACACTGCTAAGGCCAAAAGGTGGCATGTGGTGTTTGGGTTTTTCTTTCTTACCGTAGAAGACAGACATAGCTAAAGTAAGAAAGTCTGTGTCCTCAGTCAGGCAGAAGGCACCTTTGTATGTGACCATACCATATAGGAAAACCAAATGGGACCTAAACTCTTGAGGCTGCTCTACTTGGTGTAAAATATTTTAACTGCGAAGACAAAAATCCCTTATTCTGCAGGTTGGGACAGCTGGATCCTTGTTCCTGAACCACTGGAAGTTTGTTTATATCAAGTGGAGACATTGAGAACCAGGAAGCTGGGTAGGGTGAGCAAAGGATTAAGAAGCAGGACAAGATTTGGAGGGAGGGAAGAAGCCAGTCAGTAAGCCTGCCCGTTCAGGAGAGCAAGGGACAGCAAGGAACATATAGAGAAAGAAAAGAGCTGGAGAGGAAAGAATAATTATCAAGAGCAAAAGATGAAATTACATGAAAATGTTTTTGGGGCAGAGTGATGCTCCTAGAAGATGGCACATAGAATAAAATATCAATAAGAGTAGAGAAAATCACTGCATTGAAAGTATCAAATAGTGCATGATCCTGTTATTTGTAACAGCATCAACGTGCAAATGATGGCCACCCCAACACTCTTTGGTCCCATTGTGATAAGTCTTGTATGAATAAACAAAAGAGACTGGCTTGAGGGCCCTAGACCTTCAAGACGTATAAGGTGATGGATCAGCTTTGCAGATACAATGTGAGAGCAAGTAATTGTAGTGAAGAATTTTCTAGTTATGCGCACTGAACCCGTTTTCCTTTTTTCTTTTCCACGGTCAATAAGACAAATGGTCAACGAGAAAAATCAGAAGATGATTTCTCTGTTAAGATGTTGTTTAGAACATAAATATGTCTTGAAAGATATTTGCACATAAATGGTTTTTAATTAAAATTACTTTTGGTAGATTTAGTTAGGATGGCCACTGCTAAAAAATAAGCCATGTTTCTGAAAGAAATAATTTTAAAGGAAGTTGAAAGCAGTTTGTCAATTTGCATTGTACTGTTTGGTTATTCACATGCTAATTGTATTGTTCCTGCTGTCGCATTACCTTCAGCTTGAAGATCAGTCAGAAAAAGAAATTCTGCCCTACCTGTGACAGTCAGACAGTGGAACAAAAAATGCCAGTGAAGTGAGTTGTTGTTTATGGCTATTTTAATCGTAGGAGATTTACGGGATGGGATGATCAACTTTGGAATAATGTGGACAGCTTCTATTTTCCTTCCCCCTTTAAAGTGGATATGATTATTTTGATTCCTTGTTGTCAATTCTGCTTGCCATTCCCATTTCAGTAAATGCCATGAGGTCAGTGAGATAATTCTCTGAGTGATAAGTAAATATTAAAACAAATAATATTACCCATAAGGAAGAGAAGCAGAATTAGGTTTGTGCTGTTTGTTTTATCCTGGTCTTTTATTTTGCTTTTTTGTTTGACAAGAAAGCTAGTAAATATTTACTGAACAAACTGAAAATTTGTTATATATTTGATAAAAGTTTATTACAGTTACTAAAACAAATTCTCTGCTGATTAATTCCAGACATCAGCACACGATGTCTCACAAAGTACTACATTAAAATGTTTTTCTGATGGATGGGCATCTTATCGGCCTTGAGAATACATGCTCTTATAACGCTAGCCTAGAGGAAAGAGCAGCACAGCATGCGCAGGCAGGTGCTGTGTTTTAGCAGATCCTTTTCCACCCTGTTTTCCACTCACCCAAATTTCCCACCCCTCAGTATTGTGGACAGTGTCTGTGGCTCATGATGCTTTGCTGAGCCAAGGATAACCTGCTCTACTTTTACTTAGGATGAACTGTCCTCCCTAAGGGATGTGAATATAAGACCTAGGCGTGAGGTAGAAAAGAATTGCATGTCTGAAACCAGAAAGACCAACTGAGAAAAACCTTCCAGTACAGAATGACTAAACTCCATGAAAATTAAGTTGTGAGGTTTTTCGAACAGAAACAGGGTCTAGTCAGAAAATAAGATTTCTGTTTCCATCAAAAATCCTGGAATTCATTTTGATTTTGCACTGAAACAAAACAAAATGTTTCCAAATCTTCCAATTTCCCCTTTCTTACCACCAAGTGAGAGAGAAGATACACACAAATCATTCCAGAGCCACCAGGATGTCAAGTGACTACTATATTCACAAAGAAAATAAATTCAGTTTCAAATCCCCCTGCCTGCCATATCCTATACAAGATACATAACCAGCAGATTAGAAAGTTGGTTTCCTCTCTCTCTTTGTCTGGTTAATACATCTCTATTACTTGTATAAAATGTAACAGTTTCAACAAAAGCAACATGAGATACTGATCTATTTAATTATTACCTACCTCTGCAGGTATTCTTGCAGGTATTCCAGAGTTGATGTGTCTCCTTGTCTCCTTATAAAAAAATCTGTATCCAAAATGGGGGGGGGGGGGGGAGAGAAAAAATACTG